GCATTTACACATGATCTGATCAGGTGAAAGTGCAACCAAAAGTATATTTAATATCCTTCTCGCTCTGCCAGAAATTTTTCTCTGCTCTTAAGAGTATATTCCACATTCCAAAACTCCACCACCCCATGTTGATGATACATCATCCATTTTCCTTATGGTGCCAGTCTCCTACTTGATGAAAGCGTGAGAACTGCACCAGGACCCCCTAAGGTGGCACAGAGATTTTTCAAGACCGGACTGCATAAAGCCCTGAGCACCTGGTCTGATCTCACAGCTGACTCTGCTTTGAGCTAGAGGTTCAGTTAGAGATCTCTCAGGGCTGCTTCCAACCTGAATTATTCTGTGATGTCTACAGCCTTAAGTTCTGCCATTCCCCAACCCTCAAGCATGTGTGGAAACTCACCCAGCTTCTTACCTTAGGACAGGCACCTTTACCTCTGCAAGCTCAAAACATTATTTACCTTAAGGCAGCTGTTCCTCAATTCAGTACATCTGAATGAGTTCAGTTTGTTATAATACCCCCTTGGAGGACACCACTAGCAGATAAAAAAGCAGCAGCCTGTAAATAAATTAAAACAATGTCTTCTAGATGCTGATAGAGTATGGAACACTGGAAACCTCAGGAATTTTAACACCAAACATTTTTATGATTGTTTTTCCTGATTATATACATACTGGTAAGGTCATCTTGACAGAACCTGAGAGAACACATAGTTACAAGGTATTATGTCAGTGTTCAGAATTAAGAGTGATCTGGGTATATTTTCTGAAGACAAGATTAGCTGGGCCAATAGACACTACTCAAGAAGATGCTAATTTATCAGTTACAAAACCAGGTTACCAACCATCATCATAAAACAGCCCAGGTTAGAAGGGACCTTGAAAGATCATCTTGTCAAACTTATATGCAAAATAATAGATTATAAGGGAATAACCAAAGAGGGTAGGAGAAGATGACTCAGCTCTAATGCATAAGGGATCTACACAAGCATCTTTCTGCTTGTCTCTTTGCTTCACTCCTTATCACTTCTTCCTGAACAGCCAGCTCATACGTAATTGCAGCTTTTAAAAGCCTTTTCTCCCATCAATCACATCTCCATGCAAAGCCTGACAAGTCACACAAGTTCTGTTGTGTACCAGAAGTGGAAAACGCATTGTGGTAAACCCAGGTATGTATGTCTGTTATTGCTGGTGCTGGACTGTCCACTGTGAAGAGAGTCAAAGATGACAGTGGTAGCCAAGCACTAGGAAGTATTAGGGGCGTCCAGCCTGGTTGGACTTCACTGAGTTTTGAGAGATCAAACACACATTTAAACCACATTTTCTAGACAAATAAATTGAAAGCCCCTATCCACACCCAAATAAACTCAAAGGCATTTTGCAAAGTGGCAGAATGCCCAAAACTCTCAAACCACCAAACTCTGGACACTACCTAACACACAGCCCAGTCACTCACAGAGGACCTAGAATAACTGTGCCTTGCAGTCTGCAATTGGTATTTGTCCTAAGGACTAAATTCTACAAACAACTGTACCACAGAGCCTATTCTTTTTGTACAAGGAACTTCTGCGTATAAATTCAAGCTAATTTATACAGAAGAGATAAATAGTATGAGAGGGGCTTATTATTTTATGTCAAAATAAGTTGCAAACTGTTAAACTTGAAAAACATCTAAATGAAGACCAGATTGTGCTAACCAAATGGATGAAGAGCACAATCACAAAAGAAATCTTTTAAAACAGTCTGAAAGAAGAAGGATGAAAATAACAATGGTTTTGAGTGTTGCATAATGTGGAATAAAGACTACAAACCAAGCAGTATTTAATTAAAAATTGTTGCAAAAGAAATTTTTATAAGGTTCTGATTTTTTTCCCCTAAGTCTTGCTACACATAGCCAAAAACTACCCTTCAGCATCTTCTTACACCAGTGATTGCCATTAAAGCAGAATAGCTTCCCAAGCTTGGACTTTGGCACTCCCAGAGAACAATTTAGTCATTTAAGTCAGAGAGTAGTTTGACCATTAGCTTAGCTGCACTGCAACTGCTCTCCTTCTTTTCATTCACACAAAGTCCATGGAGCCTGGTCTCCTAATTCAGGGACCTAGGTTAGATGTCTAAAATAAGGGTGTACAAACACCCTTCCTCCCACATACAGTATTTGTTTCTACCACACTAACAGAATTGACTTGTAACAGATATTTAATACTTTATCAGTCAGCTGAAAAAGACTCTTTCAGAATGGGCAGGAAAAGAGTACATGTGCAGATTCAGCACCAAAGTAAATAGGATTTAAGAAGTACTTATAAAGATGGAAGAAATACAGCGCTGAGGTTATGAGAAAACCAGTATGTGTATCTCATAAATAGATACCATAAAACCACAGCAGGAAAAAGGCAGAAAAATACAAAGGATTTTTTAAAGTATGTCCAGTAATTTCAATCAACTTTCACTATATGCTTCTCTATGTCTCAGGCACAGTCATACTGTGATTTGGTATCATTTAGTCACACTCTGTGCTTTTGATAGAATGTTTGTAAGTGCCTTTGTACACTTCCAGCAAATACTGTTGAAAGGAGTTTATAAAGCAAATCAACAAGCTGTACAGAACAGACCGTATTTTCCATCTCTTCAGAAGAAGCATAGCAAGGAAAACACATGCGTTAGTAATTAGAAGTGCAGACTAGTATGCAGACCTGGAATACTTGAATCCTTTTAAGTGGCACATCTTCAAAAGAAAAACTACTTCTAATTCCTACAGTACCAAAAAACTCCAAGGCAAAAGAGAAATGCACAGACTTCATTTGCTAAAAAGTTACAAAATTATGTCCAGAAGAGTGGCTTAACTGGGTATCCAATTTCTATTTCCCCCTGATGTCTCTAAGATGTTGGCACAATCGCTTCTGGCTTGGAGGTCAGACTGCCAGACCAACAAACTGCTCACTTCAGTGTCTGAGACCCAAGAAAGCAGGTTCAGAAGTAACACTGTTAGCATCACAGAAGAGCAGAAAGACCTTGCCTTTTGACCAAGTTAATTTCAAAATAGAGACATTCTGTTTCAGTACTGGAAAATGCACTCACATGTATTTTAAACTGTCACACAAAGTATTCAGAGGCTACTGTATTCTGTTCAGATTCTTGCAATTTTCTGTGCGTATATATATGTGCATATATATAAAAAACAGCTTCTAAATTAAATCTTTTTAAATATATCTTTTAATAAAATAGGTCACCTTGGTGTGTTCAAAAAGGTATATTGGAATATCAGGGACTGTGATGATGAATTTAATAGCATGGTGCTCAAAATGCTACTAAGCTGTGCAAACATATTTGCTTGTCCCAAAGTGTCACAGTATGCTTTTCAAAAGCCACCAGAATGAGAAAAACCCCACCAAAACATATTGACAAAATACTTTCTTAATTAAATAAATATGAACGCTGTGGAAATATTTACATACTATTTCTAGTGGGCAAATGTTTAGGAAATTCAGTCACAGATCTGAACCATGCCAAGCACTGTATAAATACCTACCAAAAAGTGGAACTTCATCTGTAACTGCAAAGGTTACTGAATGAAATAGAGTCTGAAATACAGTTTGAAATACAGTTAGATCTGTTTGATGTAACAGATTTTGAAGTCTTTGGAAATGCCCCTGTTGGGCACTTGAAGTCCCTTCAAGACTCTTAATTAGGTGTATGCTTCTATTTCTAACCCTCTGTATCCTGAGAAAGACCCTCCTCTAAAATTCAGTATAAAAGTTTTTCAGTACAGGATTTGGTTTTTATTCACTTCTGCTGACAAACTGGGGGAAAAAGCTTGCTGTACACTGTCCTGATTTATGGTACCTCCTTTATTTTATCATTGTAGAGAATGTAAGAGATGTAAACATAAGATGAGGAGTTGGTATGAGCAATAAACCCCACTGTCCTATTGGCCATTTCAGAACTGCTATGAACAGATTGACCTAAACGCAGCTGCGGTCGGAAGTAATGTGCACAGAGCAATTGTTAGCTTTACCATGTAGTATAAAACAATGCAGTTACAACCTAACCTTTCCAATTTTACCACAGTTTTCTTGGTAGGTGAAGGGACAGCCCTGATGAACCACACTGCAAATGAATAAACATGAGATCATGAGACCAACGTATCAAAAATTAACCTGGACAAGAATCAGGCCTGTGTTTTTAAAACTACGTATTTGATAGTTCTGTGATCTCAAGCCTGTAAACTGACCTATTTGTTCCTCATTTTATGGAGTGGTGGAACAGTTAAAGCAGCAGATACTAGGAATTATTTGTAATTCTTGATTATACATGAGAATTTTTTCTTCCATTTTTCTTCATGTTTTCTTTAAAATTGTGTTTTCACCACTTTATTTTCTCTAGGGTTCATACCTAGCAAAATCAGACAAATGAAAACTAAATTAAAGCTCCAAGTGCTAAACAGGTACAGTGACAAAACCACACTGTTTATAGAAAGTCTTCAGGTAGTTCAGACTGCAAAACAGATTTTTTAGTATTTTGCAGGTAGTTTCCAGTGTAAAACCTAATTATGCAAAAAAAAACAAACCAAAAGCCTACCATCATAAACGAGCAAGCAAACCAGATACAACTTCTGACCTGAATAAACACAGATTATCTATCAGCACACTGTACAGTCAGCTTTGAAAATTATGCAGTGGGTTTGTGGAGGCTTTATACCACCTCTGAATGAAAAAGCACAGGAAGACCTTATTTTATTGTTAATACTACATTAAAAAATTGTCAGGGAGACTCTAAAATATAATGTGAGACATGTTAGAATTTCACCTCAAACAGTATGAATTCACTTGCTGCAAATTCCGCAGAGTGAAAAATAAGAAAAGAAAGTGGAGAACATACTGGTAGGTCTCACAGCAGAATCAGACCTAAGCAAAAAATACTTTGGGAAACAAATTAGTAAAAGGTGTCTCTCCTTGCTCTTTTTATTTTCACCACAGAGATGACATGCAGAGATGACTCACCAAGATTTGGCTGAGACATTGCCATAGATCTCTGTGGTACTGGTGTGGAAGTAGCTGCATGATGGTGGCCCATGTGGTTCAACGGTTGGTTCATAGTTTTTCGAGGATCTTGCCATGTTGTAATTTTCTCTATGTGACTGAAAAAGAAAAGATAAAACACAAACTTAACACAAAATAACCAAGTATGTTATATTCATAGCTTGGCATAAAGTCACGAAAGTCCTATCTGATTCTCTTATGCCATGGTTTTCCACTCTTCTGATCTCACTCTATGTGAAATTATGAATCATTGTAATTTATTATTCTGATCTTCTGTCCCTGCCATTTTAACTTTTTTATGTACTACTGTTGAATAGCTACTATTACTTGAACAATGCATGAATTCTATTATGATACTAAAAATCTGTGATACATTCATCTTCCAGACTATTTAATTATCCACTGTAAACCCTCATATACTTATATTAGTCTGAAATCAATGGAGTAGTACATAAATCTGCATGAGATTTTACACAAAGTGTGATCTCTGTATAACATTTTAACACAGAATACAGTAGTAAAGGAACTATGGTTTTGTTGAAACTGATTGTTTTTGCTGAAATGCGTCAGTTTTGAAAGAAACTTATTAGGACAAGGATTTTAAGGATCATCATGTAAATTCTATTTGAAGCAAGAAAAGAAAGAGGAACTACCTTAAAGCAATCAATAGTCTGGTATCTATCTAGGGACTGCCTGGTTCTGTCTCCAGCATTCACCCAGCTGAATAAGCAGGCTACTGATTAGTGGCTGGACTTTGATGGGTTTTTCCTCAATTTGTTTTTTGTTAGAAAACTTATAAAGAGGTAAGTCTTTAAGAAGAACATGTAAAGAATAAAAATTTAAGCATTCTCTGTCTGGAAAACTATTGCAGTACAACTTTCACAAAAGCATGGTCTAACATCATCTTTACTGAACACAAACCCATCACAGCTTTCACCTACATTACTAGCACTGCCATTACTGCTATAAGCACTCCACACCTTCAGGCTCAGTTGATCAGCTGCACCGCTTCACATGCAAGTTCCCATCTATTATGATGTTACCACATCCAAACTCTATAGTAGGCCTCTTGTATTACCAAAAAAATGTGAATTACAAGCAGGAGTAAAAACCAGACAAAAACGCCAACCTGAACCATTTTTCAGTTCTTTAAAAAACTGAAAGTCTTTGTAGAAATTTTCTTTTCCTAATATTTTACATTTAATGTACACTTCCAAAACTGTAACTGAAGATCACGCATTCACTTCAATGCTTGTCTAAGACTCATCCTTTAAACTTTCAAGTTGCCTCCTTTCTTCACAGCTTCTAGAATATCTGTTATAATTCATAGTGAAACCACCCTCCATTGCTTCTCCCTAGCACTAAGGCACCCTCACTGAAAACCTTTATTATATTTTAGCTTTCATTCTTTTTACCCATACTTTTCAAATCTAAGAATTCTTGTACCCAGTTCAGTTAAATGATCTTTTTCCAAAATTAAAAAATGTTATCCTGAATGAAAGATGCTGCTAGAACAATAATTTGGGCAATGTTTTCTGTTAAGTCCTAAAGGAGATGAAAAACTGTTTCACTGTTTTGGTTTTTTGACATTTTAATTCAAATAAAAAAGCTACACTTATATGAAAGCTGTAAATTTTGGAATATCAACATTCAATACAAAGGATTTTTTTGCCCAGGCAGTGTGAAACATGTTTGTAAACATGAGTTTTAGTGATGTAATTAATACTGTCTTGATGAAGCTTATGTAAAAACATTTCTCACTTTACAATGCTGGTTTGGGTTTTTGGTTTGGGTTTTGTTTGTTTGAGGTTTTTTGTTGTTTTGGGGGGTTTGGGGGAGGTTTATAAAAACACTGTAAAATTTAAGCAGAAAGCTTAAAATTAAATTAGACTTTTTTCCCTGTAATGTTACTCTCTTAAAAAATGAAAGCACAAATACCTGTTAGGAAAACTTAAAGCACAAGTTAAAGTATTTATGAAATCAGTTGTATTAAGCAATCTGTAACTTGTTTGAATATATTCCTCACTCTAACTACAAACCCAAAACCTTCCACTAGAACTGTCAATTATGTATGGCAAGTGATAACCAGAAGTGCTCTTAACAAAAAGCCACACTAGAATACCGAAATGGTCAACTTCAAAATTCTGTTGTGTTATCAAAGTTCTTTTCAGCAGGAAGCTCTCCATAGCTGTGGACAAAGGGAACTCCACACCACCCACCATCTCTGTGTGAAACTTATCTCAAAATACAGTTTGATGTTCATGTTGTTTTGCTGGTGCCAGGACATGTCCTGTGAGGAATGGCTGAGGACTCTGGGTTTGTCTCATTTGGAGAAAAAGAGGCTGAGGGACAACCTTGACCTCATTGCTCTCTACAGCGTCCAGAGAAGGGGACATGGAGAGGGAGGTGCTGAGCTCTTCTTCCTGGTACCAAAGGACTGGATATGTGGGAATGGTTCAAAGCTGCATCCATCAAGGGAGGTTCAGACTTGATATAATCAGGAAGCATTTCTTTACCAAGAAGGTCATCAAACACTGCAAAAGGCTGAAACACTGAATTCACCAGAAGTTTTACAGATGCCAATGGAAAATAGGTCATGCTCTTAATTTTGCACAGATACTGCATGGCAGATATTTAGGAAAGAGCATGGTATCAGGAATGCTTGGTTGCAGCTGGCAGTCCATTACAATAATTATTAATTTCTTTGTCTTACACTTTTTACACAGAGCCATTGGGTTGACTTTATTGAAACTGTAAAAACAAAAATAAATCATACAGGGTTTAGGTAACAGCAGTCATTAGAAATGTTCTTCAGCAATTCAGTTTATATAGTGCTGACAGTAAAATTATCAGCTCAGCAAAACTTGTCAAAGTAATAACTTTGAAAAAAATTATATAAGAACAGTATCATGTTTAGTGTTATCCTCAGTATACTTTAAAAGCCAAAGAGTCAAGCAATAGTTACTCTTTTACAAAAACATTTTTCATAACACCTCCTGTTGAAGTACTTGGTTTCTGATCACCACATTAGGATGAAATGAGCAGTAACTCTGTGTCTTGGGTTCAGCAGTAGCAATCATTTTTCTCCTTCTTATTAGCTGGTGCAGTGTTGTGTTTTTGACTTTCAGCCTGGGAACGGCACTGATAACACTGATGTTTTTAGTTACTACTCAGTAATGTTTACTCTGACCAAGGACTTTCTGAGTCTCATGCTCTGCCAGGGAAGAGGGGAAGCTGGGAGGAAGCAGAGACAGGACACCTGACCCAGACTAGCCAGAGGACTATCCCATACCACAGTGCGTCATGCCCAGTATATAAACTGGGGGCAGTTACCCAGAAGGGCCAGATCACTGCTCGGGTCTGACTGGGTATCGGTCGGCGGGTGGTGAGTGGTTGTATTCTCTTCCCTTGTTATTTCCCTTATCATTATTATTCTTGGTGGTAGCAGCAGTGCTTTGTGTTATACCTTAGTTACTGGACTGTTCTTATCTCAACCCTTGGGAGTTACATTCTTCCGATTCTCTTCCCTATCCCTCCGGGAGCAGGGGGAGGAAGAAGGTGGAGGAATGAGCGAGCGTTTGTGCGGTTCTGAGTTACTGCCTGGGCTTAAACCACGACATTCTGTAAAGGAGCTTTTTTCCACACTGTACCAGAGGACAATTTTTCATCCCTTTCCTTTTTTTAAATATGCCCACTTAAAATGTCCTGCCTACAAAGGATTATGAGGAAGAGATCTGTCATTTGCTTTCCCTGAAATACACGTCTTTTCTGATTTACCAACATACTGAGGCAGTTGGCATTAATCCAAGGCAACCAGCATCAAGCCAGCACAAAACATGAAGAAACACATAATCTACAATCAATACTAAGGAAGTATTTTCTAAGTTAGTGTCTTTCTCGGATGTATTTTTATTGCCTTGCAGATTTTCTCCTTTTTCACTTGAAATAAGAGTTGCAAATTTAAAAACACTCCATCAAGTTTTAATAAATTCATAAAACCTATTCTCACATAAAAGTCATGACAATAAAATATTAAAATGTTCTGCAAATTGCTATCAAAAGCAACCAGACATGAAACTGTACCTGAAAAATAATACTGCTTTTGTTCAAAATCTGTTTGATCCTTCTGATTGAGAAAACAATCCATACCCGAGTTACACATGCAAGAAGCATGGCAATGACAACCATTTAGCAGCGCTTCCTAATTTACAGAAGAGCTGAAAATTGATCAAAAATTTAAGGATCATAGCCCTTAAGGAATCCAGCTGAATTTAAAATAAAACAAAACATGGGAATTTTATGTGTAAACATGATAACTCCTTAGCAGCCATTGCCAAGACCCAGAAGTGGCCTTGCTTACCCTCCTTGGGACCATCCTAGCAGTGTATGAACACATCTTCTTCATTAAAAAAACATGCAGACAGATTGTCTGAAACAGAACCCTCAAATATGGCATTGATATTATGATTCAAGATCAAGTAATGACTGGCTGTTGCTACAATTTATTACTATGACCACTAAACCGGTTTGGTTTTATCCAGTTATTAAAGAAAAGGCTGTTAAACATTAGACAATGCTTACTTAACAGCTTAAGATAGTAGAATTGAAAACCCAACATTCTCTAAAATCACACTATGATTCTAAAATAAAGGGCTTGGTTTCAGGACAGAAATGCCTCCCCCACTCTGACTTACACTGCTTATATAAATCTTGCCCCTTGATTTCTGTACAGGTATCAAAAAGATTACATCAAACCTTTGCAGAAGCAGGTACCGGGTTTGTTCCACTTTAAATGTATTGGATTTATACTGGAACAAACGATTTTGGTGCAATACCTTTTTATTTTTACAGAAGAATAAAAGAAAATGTATCAGTGACAGGAATTAGCCTTTTTTGAGATTCTTACAGCCTCCTGGGTATCAGAACTGAAAAAATTCAATTTGGAACACCCTATTTCTATTAAAGGCCAGTGGGTAATACATTAAACATTACAGGTAGATTTCAAACACTAAAATGTAGAATACTACCCTAAAATTATGGACCCTCATCACTAAATCCAATTCAAAGACAGTTACCTGGGTACACTTACCAAATGACA